AATGAAGTTGGGTTCCTGTTTGTTCAGGAAACAACTTTAACAATATTACCAACTTATGCGAAATATTTAATCGTGTTATATGCAACGGAAATTGGACTTTATTTTACTTTATTTAAATAGCTGCAACGGGGAATACAAGTCATGTTTTCAAGTATTTCATATTCATAAATGATAACAGTCAGAAAGATTAATCTATTTTAATTTGATTTGAATGTAGTAAGAGTGCCATTGTTGCTTTCATGCTAATTAACCGAGTCATAAGTTAATATCATGATGTTTACAGTTCTTAAACTTCTAGAGGCCAATTTAGTTTTACTAGTTAAGTTTAATAACTAAAATTTTATTTGTTTTGCATTATACATGGTTTTTTAAATTTTGTTTGTTTTAGTTACATTAGCAAATGAATGTATTTCTGTGGAAATAATTTGTGATGGATGCATATTTCAAGATATCTCTTTCCATTAGCAATCCACGCATTGTGTTCCCTGATTTAGATTAATTAACGTGTAATTACAATGTAGTGGTGTTATTATGCGCGACTGATACAAACAGATTCAAAACGACGTCATTGAAGCGTCACGTTTTTGCATTGTGCATTTTCATAAAGTGAAATAATCAAAATAATGGTCGTAAACTGAAACGGCATGTTTGAATTGTTTGGCACAATAGTCTAGAAGCTCGATAGCGGCTTGGTTAAGCGAAAGTTAATGTGCCTTTTATAGCTTTAAAATGCGCTCTTGTCGATGCCGTTGGTCGAGAGATTAAGCCAATTTCGCCCCGGCGGAACTGATAAAAATACTCCACGAATTCATTAGGGCTCGATCGAAAATTGGGAGAAGAAGCGCAATTTGGACCCCGAGTTTATCCTTGAAATTGGTCATTTTGTCAGATATGTTGTACATAAGATATCTTATGAAAACATGAAGTTTTTCATGTACAAAGTAAACGTGGGTACAAATTGCGAATCCTAATTGCGGAGAGGCGCGCCTGCCATTCCTGGCACAAGGATAACAGTCTTAACAGGCCAGGATTAGCGATAGCTCTCGGAGGAATAATAACACAAGCTCAAAATGCACCTGAATCTCCGATTTTAATCCCTCTCGTAAAATATTTCACAACCTGGAGTAAGACAATCGTTTTATTAAATAAGGGGAGGGACAAAAATGACACCGTAACCCCGAGTAAATTATCCGGGAGTAAGCGAGTAAAGTAGAGTTCGTTCAAACTATTCCAATTACAACAAACATTAGCTGCAATAAGAACGATCTTTCAAATAAAGTTCGAGACTGAGTGACGGTTGTGTATAAGAGACGAGACTGTCTACTCAATTCGTGGCGGATGAATTAAAGTTAACTTTGTAAACAAGAAGTGTGTTGTTTTCCTACAATTCAAATTAAACTTGGTTTTGGTACTTTATGCAAAATCCGAGGACGACCTGCAAGCTAATGATTCTTACTAAAAATGGCTAACAAAAACACTCAAACGACATTTTAAACATATTTATTTATGTTTGTTGAGTTTTTTATTTTGTTGGTGTAACAGCAACGTTTTGTAGTGGAATTCTAAATCCAAAAATGTGGAGTTGGGGTATGATAAGACGCTTATGAAAATCTTTTAAAAGAATACGAATCTTTGAGCTTGGTTAAATGACAAAAGGTAAATTCCGTGATGTAGTGAAGGGTCGCTCAAACCCCGCATAGTTGGTTGCTGTCGCTATATGCGAGTAACTTTTGATATTGAAAAGGTTATTTATTACTTCCCATAGAGACGTCGTTCGAAAGTTTAGCCTTCTCGTGGATATGCCGTCCTTTACATGTGTCGGTTGCAAATATAAAGCGTCCGTTGGGGATGACAAATATACGAAAGTGCCATCTTATATGGTACGCAGGCAACATTTTTAAACGTAATTGGTCGGGTACGAAACGACCTTTAGAACACACACATGCAGTAACGACATCATTTGTAACTCCAGAAAGGACTTCTTCTCATATTGTGCACGTTTCGATGGTGCTTATGTTGCCATAAAGGACCAGATGTATGCAGATGGCCGGTAAGGGGCCGTTCTGACCGGGGGGGTGAGTTTATTGATTTCATAAAAGTGGAAATAAGAACGGCAAATGGCTTGATACAATGCTCTCGACGACCAAATACCATCCATTTAATACCAGTACAAGCTGCGTCGGGATGTTACGAGTGGTTGTGTTGTGGCCGAACGAGCATTCATTGCAACAATACTGCAATGGACTTTGTCTCGAAGTAATACATTATTTATGCTTTTCTCCTTTCTGGTTTATTGTTGCTACAAGCAGCGATTTATTTCGATAAATATTGATATTACGCACGAGACTCGAATCATATTTACAAGACATCATCATTATCATGCCAAGTTTATTGATGGATTCTTTTTTATTTCCGATAAATAGAACTCAATAGGTTTACTTTATTACTGCTTCTTTGTCCTCACGAATTGACATCAACTTCGAACTCTGATTGATTTCTCCAGCCCTGACATCATTTTCTGCAAGGACACTTTCATCTCGAAATTTGTTAAATTCCCTTAAACTTAATATTCTACCAAAATGATAAGATTTTAAAAAATTACTCACGATTTAGATGGGATCGTGCTTTAAAGTTTTATGTGTTTAATATCGATTTCTTTCAAAAGTAACTACTTACTTGGTATTTAACGATGGCGTAACTTTGTAACTCTTACTTTGTGCTATTGATACGTGCTTTTATAGTCACACTAACTTTAAAGGCTTTCTAAGTATTTTCTTAAGTACGTACCTACTAATTTTTTTGTTTTGTGTTTTTAAAGTTGTTCTAGTTAAGACACGCAATATATTTTTGATGTTCTTGTTTGTCTCTTTGGAATCTTTTTTAAATTTTTTTATTAGCAGATTAATCGTCTGACATTTATTTCGTAATTGTGTACTTTCTTAACCCATTAGCGTTATTAGCACGAACAGAATAGAATAAAAGTTGCGGAAATATTGATCAAACGTGTTTTTCTGCCTCATTAGTTTTTTAGGCTTTTTATGTGAACTTATAATAAATGAAGTGTACAATAAATTAGAATCAATAAATAATCTAACCTGAAATATGGCTATTTACCTAACGGAGAAAAGTATTGACAGTATTGACAGTGAGTTGGAGTAGATTTTAATTACGTAAAAATTTTCCTAATAACAAAAAAAGCATGGAAATAATTAAATAATTATCAGAAAAGCTCAAGCAATCCTCATTACATTAATTTTATTTCTGTTGAAAACATTACCTAAATATTCAAAATCTCCATCGTGCATGCCAGGGCCATAAGTCCCTCGAACGCAAAACTTGCATATCTGACAGTGACACTTTATACCGAAATGTTGAATCAACACGCGATTACCAAAAAAGCTTGATATAAATTAAACTTTCCGAAAGATCACTATGGATTTGAATATTTATTAATCAGACCAGATCACGAAAGTAACCAACTGAAAAATTTAACGTATCGAAAATTCAATTTTTGCAATTCTATGAATTTGCATTTGTACAATACGTGTTATTCGACACGTCAAATGAAATACAAAGAATTTGCGTGCGACTTGTAACTTTCAGTTGTAAAAAGCTTTATGGAATTAGCATTGAAGGTCAGACATTAAAAAGTTTTATTATGGCCGTCGAGCTGTAAAGTTGGGTAACACTCGATGTGGCGAAATGGTGGATGCGCCGGGCTAATTTTTGCGTCCGCTTCGTATTGAATAGGATCATAAAATTTCAAGTGTAGCCGGAAGTTAAATTATTATTTAGATAAGTTGGTTACGGTTTTTTTATTTCTGTGTTTTACTTTTGTTCTTAATGGCAAATTTTATAGTTTTTTTGAATTAATAGAATTTTCTAGTTTAGAACGTACTTGCTGATCACTTTAACAGGTCGTATTTTTACTTTTACGTTTTACTTCGTGTTTACTAGCAGGAATATTATATGTTTTATGTTTTTTGTCTAATCTCAACAAGTTTTTGGTGTTAAATAAATTTATGTTTGAGGTTTCAATGTCCGGAAACCAGAAGTTCATTTCGTTGAAACAACCAAAGTGAAAGTGAGATCCCTCGCGTCAATGACTTTTAATTAGATAAGATGCAAAATCGATAGCGAAGTTGTCACACAACCCTTCATTATCGATTCGATGAAAATTTTGCCGACACTTCGAATCAATCTGGTTTAACGTAATTTAAAGTCTTTCAATTGTGTTTTCTTGTTTGGAATAATTTAGCAGTTTGGAACGGCAACGTTTTAGTTGATTAAGAAAATAATTAATGTGTTCTGTTGTCGGTGCAGAGATACTTTGCTTTTCAAACCGGGATTCGTTGGTAATAAGAATTGTCGGTAGAGTGACAGCGAACACTTCGGCGGTGGAAATTCGATTTGGACAACAGAGTTAAACTCAAAATAGGAGAGTGTTAAGTCGGAACAACACGGCCAAATATAAATTTCCATATTTCATTTCTGGATGTTGGCGCAAATTAGATTGCTAGTGTAGTCCGGATAAAAACACGCGACGCGGTTATTTGGCGGGACCTCCGCGTTGTTGCATTACAAAGTGGATTGGACATCACGTCGATATTGTTTACAATGTTTCAAATTAATCATCAGCTTTAATTGGATACGCCTTTTTAATAATCTTTCGAAATAGTGCTGTCATCTCCAGGCACATTGCAGAATTCACTAGAGGTGAAAATTTATTATTACCATGATATCCCCTTTGCGCGCCGCTATGAAATATCGCCCTTCTGATAGTAAAATACTAACGCTATGCTTTTTTTATATAGATAAATAACCACAACATTTATCTTTATTGTGATTGCGAAACTGTGCCAATATCAACGCTACCGACCGATATTTCACTGGGGAGGATTTTAATGAATGTAATCTATTGGTAGATTGCTTTTTACCATCTTTTCAACAACTTTTCTATCAGCTATTTACATGAGTTAATTTTTAATTTTTTATTACAGGGCGAGGATGGATTAAATTATTTCAAACATTGCAGAACGTAAGTAATTTTTTTTTGTTTTTACTGACAATTTATACCTCTTATTTCAAATTTAGTTGTTAAATAAAAATTCTATTTCAGAGAATAATGTCAAACAGATGTTCTATTTTGCTTTTCGTCTTGTAATTATAACAATTTTTATAATGAACAGTCTTTTATGTGCTTTCCATCTTTTTTTACAAGGATAATGAAATGAGAGTAGAATTAAAGAGCTTAAAGAGCACTTCAGTTTTTAATTTGTGTCTAGACAAGCTCTTTGTCTTCATTCTTATCGCATAATGAATAATTGTGATTTAAAAAGTTTATATCTGTAAACACAAAGTTTTCTTGATTCTGAATATACCAGCTGAATAAAATGTATGGAACTAAACGTTTTTAAACTATTAACTAATTGATGAATGATAAAGTACTATAAAACTGTGATGTTTTAACAAGAATAAAATTTTTCGAATTTTTTGTTTGTCTTTGAGTTGAAAAAACGCATACCTAACTCCAAAACAAAATTTCATTCTTAAAATACGATCACATTTTTTATATTGCTTTCATTTATGTTAATTATTATTTTCTGGAGGCAAACAATTTAAAAAAAAAAACGTTTGTTGGTTCCATACTTTATATTCACCTTGTAGTTTTACTAAGACTAATTTTATTAGCCATAGTATAGTTAAATATGATATAATAAATAAGAGATTTGCTTTAGTGATCGTAATCGTAATATTTCATGACTTTGGTAAAATTTTAAACGTTATTATACAAAATTTATTTACTGTTTTTCTGTGTCATTATCAAAATCACCGAATATTTACAACCGTAAAATGTGAATGAAGTAATATTTTTGCATACCCAATTGGGAACACAACTTGGTAATTAACAGCTTAATTAAATTTGTGCCGTTTTTAAGTGATGTCAATTTCATATCACATGCAGAGGTGTTACAACTGTTACAAGTACATAATGGACATTGCACTTTTTTTCATGCAGTTTGCTTTAAAATAACAGGAGAAACTTGGTTGAAATTTCCTGCAAAATTTTTTTATTTCATAATTAGATGAATATTAAATAAATGTGCATGCGACCTAATTCTATTCCGAGAGTATAAAATCTGTCTCACTTTATCTTGTACGAAATCAAGGTTTTACGCACCGGAACTTTAATATGCTACTACTTCGTAAAGCTAAAACAACGAAACTGAAATGGCTGCATGTAATTATATTCTCTTTTTAGTGTAATTTTCTACTTCGTTAGGTATAAATTATTAATCATTGTTAATAGTTTAGTAATTTGAACTCTACTGCAACCACTTGTAACAACCTTGTAACAGTATTCAGTCATCGTATCCAATATTTTTTATCGCTCGAACATTATAAGGATTATGTTTTCTTGTAGTAGAATTTTCATATCACCGTTACGGAAACAAATGTTAATTTATTTTATTTTGAGTTAGTGACATTCTAATGTTGTTTCCAGAAAATCTTTTTACCGAACTAATTTCATTTAAATTATAGTTGAAAGTCGTAAATTTATTTATAAAAATGAAAGCATGAGATTTTCTGAACGCCCTTCTAAATTTGGTTAAAAACAAATTAAAAAGTGGATTCTTTGCTAAAAATAGGCAATTCAAAACCGACCCTCGGCATTCCGAGTACATGAACCGTGAGAAAGCGCCGATGACATTGTTGACCTGTAGCGCCATCTTGGTTCGTGATCACTACAATGTTAAACTAAACCGTGCTTCTTTCCACTCCACGTTTATTACAGCATTAACGGTTCTTTAATCTCGACCGTTTGATCTTTTATTTTTGTAGAATTATGTGATAGTTTGTGATGGTTTCTCCGAAAACTTAATTAAAACGTCATTTGCGAAATTAAAATTATTGAAAGAGAAAACACATATTACAAAACTGTCCACTTTTTCCATTATTTCGGACACAACACCACTTGTAGTTTTATGAAATCAATTTAACTTGGGAAAGAGCATCGCCGAAGGGATTTGATATATAGAGTCACGTAGTTCTTGGTTTGGTTCACTCAATAACGGATATACCAAACAGGAAATGACCTATAAGTTCACTTAGACCAAATTCCAAAAGACAAATATTGCGGCAGGGTAGTTAATGTAGTTTCTTTGGTTTTATCGGACAACGGATAGAATTCTAATGAAAGGATTAAATAAACGGCAGTGCGCCTCGACCGATTTCTAATTTAATTTAATGTGGTCGAAAGAATTTTATTATTTGCGTGGGATGATTATACAAAAGTGAAATTAACAATTTTTTCCCATTTCTGATCTGGGTTGTTTAAAATCTTTTATTACGAACTTGACTTACGTTTCTTCTGTCGTTTAAGGACAAAAAGGAAAATTTCCACATTTATTTGATCTCATTGCTTTGTTAAAAAATTTTTACGATTTGAATGCTCCTGTCTTACATGTCATTTTCTGGATTTTGTGAGGTTTAATCTCAGCCGAAATTAAATCATTAGTAGATGGTATTGTTCTGTCGGTTGCAGTTTCAAATAGTTTGTATTCCAGTATCAACCTAACAGTCAATATTAACAGTGCATACACAGCACATGAAACTCCAAGCTACCTTGAGTAAGTTTGGACTCAATACAACATAGTCTTGTAATTAATGATGTATTGGTGACATTTCAAAGTTAAGTGAATAGGTACATCACCTTTGTGAAATACAAGCAGGAATTATTTCAAACACAGACGTAACACTGACAAATAAGTTTACACAAGTGTTGAAAAATTACTTTTTACATGGCAGATATATTGAACGCATATAAATCATTGAAGGATAACAGATTATTTGTTTTCCAAGAAGTTGGATTTCAGCTGTTTGCTAAAATATGTTAAAATATTCAATTTGTATGCAGCTATTTATAACTTGAGTAATGCGTGATTTGTGCGAAGGAACGTTTAAGACAAATTTTATCCACATTCGGATTTAAAAACCGAAATAGCGATATCGTTTAAAGTAAGGGAACAAATGTTCTGTCATAAATAAATTTATTGCAAAGCAGTCGGAAGATAACGTGCTCCAACAATGTTAATTAAAATTATAGAGAAAAATTGCGACATCACTATCAATTGCACGAGAAAAATTGTATTGTTAATTAAGAATTAAATGGACATGAAGCTTTAAAAGCAATTTAGCTAGGTTTAGAGATGCAAATATTTAAAGTAAATAGTAAAATAGTGGTCTAAGTCCTATCCTATATACTATCTACTGAATCGAATTTCGGTCACATAAACCGATTCGGAGGTAAATTGGGAAAATTTTGTTTGTCTTGTCGACTATCTACAACTTATAATTTGGTTCAGTTCTAATTCCAGTTTTTAATGTTTTCCACAATTATTATTTCTTAATATTTAACAAAATTGATTAACGTGCAGAATCTTTAAATATTCAATATTTAAGTCTTCTAAATATTTAACTTTGAGACCTTATTTTAATTTCATAATATTAAACAAATTTTGTTGTGTAAGATTTTAAAAATTTATTCATTTATTTTAGGATCTGTAAGCCAGAAATTTGTTTTCCTTACTTTTTATATCGAAATTTTACTTGATTTTAAATTGGTCTAATGAACTTGATCATTAACATTAAATAACATTAGGCAGATGGTAATTTTTAATTAATTTGAACAAGAATTTACTTTATGTTACAACTGTAATTAAATATTTGCCAATTATTGCTTTTATTGTCAATATTTGCAACTTATTCGTAATCGCAAATTTTGTGTAAAAAGTCGCTTATTTTTCACATGTTTATTAAGACATTTTTCACTGTAATGGGTGTTTCACCATATTCATGTTTACCTGTCATTATAGAGAAATTTCACCCACCCTATCACACCTAACAAATGATAAATCTGTGGTGCTTCCCACTGAATTTATAATAGAGGAAATGTTGAAAAGTCGATGACTTTGTTTTCTTGTAGTACTAGTGAATATTAAATAATATTCAAATGAATGCAATTTTTGGGGATAAAAAAACACTCGTGCCTGTCAGCAAAGCATTGAATCAACATTCAATCAATACTGCTGGCTTTACAACTTTATGCTCTAAGTACAGAATGAATAATGAATTTGTCGTTTAATAAATAAAAAATGGAATGTGTAATTACCACTCCCACGATATGAAATAACAGCATGTAAAACTTCACGAAAGATATTTTGCTTGATTATTACCCTCATTCAGCATTCCGCCCTTAATAGCTGCTATTATTTCATTGCTTTTCTTTGTGTCGAAATTGATTTTGAGTTGTTTCACTTTAGAAAAAAACACCAAAATGTCTGAGAATACTAGACTGGATGTGGCTGAAGAGCTGAAAGAACTTATAAATCTTCTCGGCAACTTTCAGAGCCATTTTTGGCCTGCGAGGCATACCATCAAACAACGTTTCAAATTAAAATATTACTGAAAGTTTTTGTTTAAAATTTTATAATCAAACTTGAATTTACTAGTTTTTTTATCCAATCCTTTTGTAAAAATGATAAAAATACCAGGCATGTTTTAACGGAGAAGCTTCAAGCTTTGTATTATATGACCCTGGTTCCCTAATTCCAACAACACAACGGTAAAACCTATTAATTCGAAAAAAACCTTTCATGCCAGATTTCGTTTCATATATGTAGCGAATTTGCACAATGAATACGGTCCGCTTTTAATATACGGCCATATGCTATTTCTCAACGCTTTCAGAAGGTGTGTATTGCTGAAAAATCAACCTAATGCGGTTAGCTGAAAAAGCTCGACAATGGAAGTTGCAGATATTGCAGTAGGAAGTTCGTGCCGTGTTTGCATGCCATACGTATACACAAGCGGCTGAGTTTTGTTTATTTTAATCCGTCTTATCTTTACCCAAAAAATGGCTTTCATGAAGCGGAAAAGCGCATCCACATCGACTTTTTCACTTCTTCTCTCATTTTCATTGAACACATTACTCTACATAGTACTACCTACTTTTTAGAACTGGTTTCAGAGAATTAG